TTTTTTTTTTTTTTTTTTTTTTTTTCTTTCTCGAATTATACAATCAGAGAGAACTGGAGGATCATTATTACTTGCGCGCGTTACTTCGACCGATATTATTATTCCGACGGATCGGTCGTGGCGAACGCGACGTTATTTCACGCTTTCTTCAAGCGGGATACGATTTCCTTCGGCCCTTTTGTCCGCGCGAACAGAAATCCATCGGTGTTTATTCAACGAGTACTCGTTCCACGATCAAGGATCGTTACGCGGTATTACTCGGCACGAAATTTCCACCGCGAAAAGAAAAGATAAGACTTTTGCGTGACACGCGGACTTGATTGACGCGTAACGCGCAAATACGCTCGTACACGTTCACTTTTATTATGTACGTCGCGCGCAACAGTTCGTGAAAGTGGTGGTAGATCGGTCGTAAACGAAGGCGAGATCGAAGACGCCGAATAATATAATGTACTCGAGAGTTTCTCGTGGGAATAATACTAGACCAATTAAATCGATGTTTTTTTTTTCTTTTTCTTTTTTTTTTAAAGGCATAATTGGCATTTAAGCGACGCGCATTTTCCTTACTTAATTCTATTTATTGAATCTTCAATTTCAATTTCAATTTTATTTATTTGTACGGGATGAAATCTTGTTTATGTTGTTTCTGCATTTATCGTGTATCTTCTCTCTTCGTAATATTCGTAATGTTCGTATCTAATTTGCGCTCCAATCTAATGTAAGTTATTCACATAATTAAATTAAACGATACAATTAAAGTTTGACTAACGAATAATAAACTCGAATTCTACTCGTAACATCGCACCATGACGCGAATTTTCGATCAGCATTCTCGATCTTCGTTCCGTTTATGATCGAATCCGATTCTCTGTATATTTCCGCGTTGAAAAGCGAATGAATGGCCTTGCAGCGTCTCCATCGACCAAGACCCGATTTCGCCAATCTCTGTATTCTGTTAAACGAAGCATTCGCTTTCTCTTCCGGCAGTCAAACATTTCCCTCTTGTGTATCGCCGAAAACAGCGTCAATTTTTTTTCATTTTTTTTTCCCCCTCCCTTTGTCTCTTCCAAGATTTTCACCTTACCTCTGCTCTCTTCATCGTTTTTTTTTTCTGCGTTTTTCTTTCAGCCGAGGTCGTCCACAGCAAATCCATCGTGGCACAGCACCACCGTAAGTCCCGATTCTTCGCACGATATTTCGCACTTCCGCGTGTTCCACGGACTGGCCCTGGTTCGAACGACGCGGCGATTTTGTGAATCTCGTTTCTGAAAGTATCCTTAGAAAGTCGAGCGGTGATTCCACTCGTGTACTTGAGTACGATCAACGTGGATCAACGACGTGATTTTCGCGTAATTTTCCAATTATAATCGGCGAATTATCAGATGAATTATCGTTAGAAAAATATCATCGAGATAGAAGACCGTGATTACGATCCTTCTAGGGAATTATCGTCTGGCTCGAAAACCTCGAGATCCACTAACTCTTGTATCGCGTCGCCACGAGGTGAACGAACACGGCCGCATCGGATTAATGCAGCTAGAAAGTTAATTGCGTGCATAGCTGTCGCTATTAAACTTACTAAACGATCATCATTCCGCCACCCAGCGGGAAAACTTTAGTCGCAGTGAAAGAAAAAAACAAAGAAATAGAATTAACGAGAGAAATGGATCGGCCTTTGATCGATCGATAGATCACGATCGATCGTTGTCGTCGACAGAAAGGTGAAATTACGTTGCGCGACAGGAAATAATAGCTAGTTCCTACGAAC